TTGCTTCTTTGAGGTAAACTCGATTAAAAAAAATGACAATACTGTCCATCGCTGTTAGGGCACTTAGAAAAGGCCCTAAAGAGTTTAAAAGTGGAATAACTGGTGATCTGAGAAAGAATCAACAGCACCCATTTTCCACTGCTGAAACTAGCTGCAGAGAGTGCTGGCGTATAGAGTCGACTTGTTTTTATTCAATCAACGGCGATGACTTTTAAATGTGTTGTATGTTTTTTTTTCTATGGCGACTGTAGTCAGTTGTTCGCTCCTACGTGAAAAGACGCAATCCGAATACTGATTTTTGGGTCAGTATTTTTTCGCTATTTTGAAGTCTGGCATAAGAAAATCATCCAACCATATTTCTCCAAAAATGACCACGTGATGTACCATAAATTGCGCTGTACAAGTCGACCTGGCGTACTAGTTGACCACGAGATTTTTAGCTTAAATCTCTGAGTTAGGCTTGTGACTATCATATAAGTCGACCCCCAAACATACGATAGGCTACAAGTGGGCCAAACCTTAGAACTACCGGTAAATGAAGTTAGGCTGAAGTACACGATAACCTGTACCCAAACTAGATAAGGTCACATCACTTACCCGTATATTGGAACATTAACCGTAATATATTTCTATATGCGTTGTAAAGCAAACAACCTACAAAACACTCTAGTACGTACCGTATTTTGCAGCTACCGTATATTGTAGGTACCGTATATTGCAGGTACCGTATATTGCAGGTACTGTATATTGCAGGTACTGTATATTGCAGGTGTACTGTATATTGTAGGTATTGTATATTGCAGGTACTGTATATTGCAGGTACCGTATATTGGGTATATTGTAGGTACCGTATATTGCAGGTACCGTATATATTGCAGGTACCGTATATTGCAGGTACCGTATATTGCAGGTACCGTATATTGCAGGTACCGTATATTGCAGGTACCGTATATTGCAGGTACCGTATATTGCAGGTACCGTATATTGCAGGTACCGTATATTGCAGGTACCGTATATTGTAGGTACTGTATATTGTAGGGTGGTATATTGTATATTGTATATTGCAGGTACCGTATATTGCAGGGTACTGTATATTGCAGGTACCGTATATTGTAGGTACATATTGCAGGGTATATTGTAGGTACCGTATATTGCAGGTACCGTATATTGCAGGTACCGTATATTGCAGGTACCGTATATTGCAGGTACTGTATATTGCAGGCAGGTACTGTATACAGGTACTGTATATTGCAGGTACCGTATATTGCAGGTACCGTATATTGCAGGTACCGTATATTGCAGGTACCGTATATTGCAGGTACCGTATATTGTAGGTACCGTATATTGTAGGTACCGTATATTGCAGGTACCGTATATTGCAGGTACCGTATATTGCAGGTAGGTACCGTATAGGTACCGTATAATAGGTACCGTAGCCGCAGGTACTGTATATTGCAGGTACCGTATATTGTAAATTCGTATATTGCAGGTACCGTATATTGCAGGTACCGTATATTGCAGGTAATTGCATATTGCAGGTACCGTATATTACTGTATATTGCAGAAAATTGCATATTGCAGGTACCGTATAAGGTACTGTTTGTAGGTACTGTATATTGCAGGTACCGTATATTGCAGGTATATTACAGGTACCGTATATTGTAGGTACCGTATATTGTATATTGCAGGTACCGTATATTGTAGGGTATACCGTATATTGTAGGTATTGTATATTGTATATTGTAGGTACCGTATATTGCAGGTACCGTATATTGCAGGTACCGTATATTGCAGCGTTGATAGAATACTGAGTTAGGGTTACAATTTTATTATTTTATATTCATTCCTTTAGAAAAATATGACAAACTGGAAAAGTTTTTGTGACGCGTCATATTTTTCTAAATACTGTTTGTTGATATATAAAATTATAAAAAATGATATATCGTTATACCATATTAAGGCACGGTATTCTATGCAAGACCATCATGGAAGACACCGTTAAAGGTTGACGTCGGAGAGGACGCCAACGCAAAAGCTGGTTGGACAATGTCAAACAATGGACAAGTGTGACTGTACCAGAACTGCTGATGGCTGCCGTTGATAGACTATCTATCTATCTATCTATCTATCTATCTATCTATCTATCTATCTATCTATCATTACAATGCACGACATCCTGTGCAAGAGCATCACGGAAGGCACAGTTGAAGGTGGACGTGGGAGAGTACGCCAACGCAAAAACTGGTTGGACAATGTCAAACAATGAACCATAATTGACCGTACCAGAATTGCTGATGGCTGTCGTTGATAGACCGTTGTGGAAAATAGTTGGTGTGACTTCTGCATTCGAATCTGTCCAACGATACAAAAGTCAAGTGGACGATGATTATGATATATTCATTTCTGTGTTAATATGCCAAATATGTTCAGCAAACACAATTTTTATTATCGTACTTTTGTGGTAGCCTACTGGAGGTATGATAAGTCGTTTACAATAATT